AGCGGGCCCCACGTCCAAAATATACTCCTAATTTCTCACGAACTACCTTATACTAGAAAAATGATTTAAAAACTATATTTCCTGATAACATGTGGATAAAAGTAATATAATAAAGAAAATAAAAGAAAACGGGTGCACAAGAATAAAACCTTAAATTTTTTTTTTTCCGTTCTGGGTTCTCACGTCCTCTCTCCCTTAAGAAATTTCGCTCTTGAAATTGCTCACCTGGGTTACTAAACAGCTCAGGGTATTTCTTTTGCATCTCTTCCTCCATCTCCCAGGTTGCCTCTTCTATTCCATGATTTCTCCATAAAACCTTCACTAATGGAATTTGTTTATTCCTCAGTTCCTTAATCCTTCGATCGAGTACTTGTACAGGTCTCTCTTCGTAAGTGAGTGCCTTATCTAACTCAATCTCCTCTGGTCGTACAATGTGGGTTGGATCAGGGTAGTACTTTTTCAACATCGAAACATGGAAAACGTCATGAATCCGAGCTAAACTTGGCGGCAACTCGAGTCGGTACGCTACTTTCCCAACTCGTTGAAGACTTTTGTAAGGCCCCACGAACCGTGGTTGAAGTTTCTTTCCTCTACCCGCAGTGACGCTTCGTAGTGGCGTGATCTTAAGGAAAACACGGTCTTCAACTTCGAACTCCAAATCTTTCCTTCGGTTATCGGCGTAGCTCTTTTGTCGGTTTTGAGTTGTTTGGAGTCTTTGACGGATCAATTTAACCTTTTCTTGTGCATCCTCCATCCAGGGAATGGTTGTTGGATCTAGAACTTTCTTTTCTCCTACTTCATCCCAATAAATGGGCGAACGACACTTCCGTCCGTAGAGAGCTTCATATGGTGCCATTTGAATGGACGAATGGTAACTGTTATTGTAGGCAAACTCTACCAAAGTCATATGTTGACCCCAGTTACCCCCAAAATCCAGAATACAAGTTCGTAACATATCCTCGAGGGTTTGAATCGTTCGCTCCGACTGCCCATCCGTCTGGGGGTGATAAGTGGTATTAAGGTTAATTTTGGTCCCTAAGTGCTCCTGAAACTTTTGCCAAAACCTCGATACAAAACGAGGATCTCGGTCCGAAACTATACTCACTGGAACCCCATGTAACCTCACAATTTCATTCAGGTACAACCGAGCCAGCTTATCCATGGAATCCTTCACATTCACAGGTAAGAAATGAGCCGATTTGGTCAACCGATCAACGATCACCCAAACGGCATCATGTCCTTTTTGAGTTCTTGGCAGTCCAGAAACAAAGTCCATCATGATATTTTCCCACTTCCATTCGGGTATCTCAAGAGGTTGTAATAGTCCAGAGGGTTTTTGGTGTTCAGCCTTAACTTGCTGGCAAATCAGACAGGTTTGGATATATTGGACAATCTCTCTCTTCATCTTATCCCACCAGTACAATCGTCGCAAGTCTTGGTACATCTTATTACTACCAGGATGGATCGTGTATTTCGATCGATGGGTTTCCTCCAAAATTTTCCTTTTTAAGTTTTCATCATTGGCTACCACCACCCGGTTCCTATATCTTAAAATCCCTTCAGGACCCAAATTGAAATCAGGTAATGCTTCCTTTTCTACCTTTTCCTTCCACTTTTGTACCGTCGGATCCTTCTCTTGAGCTTCTTTAATTCGATCAAGAATAGTAGAGGTTACCCGAATATTTCCAAAAGTTATTTTTTTGCATCCCAATCTAGGGTTCCACTCGCTAGTTGCTCCTAACATCTCCCACTCTTTGACCAACAACCCTGCTACTTGAGCTTTCCGACTTAGGGCGTCTGCTACTACATTAGCTTTACCCGGATGGTAATTGATTGTGCAGTCATAATCTTCTAAGAGTACCGGCGTTGCCTCATATTCAACTCTTTTTGGGAGAAGAGATACCTAAGACTTTTATGGTCTGAATAAACCTCAAAGGTAACCCCGTAGAGATAGTGTCTCCACTTTTTCAGAGCAAAGACCATCGCAACTAACTCCAAGTCATGGGTAGGGTAGTTTTGTTCATGGGTTTTTAGTTTCCTAGAGGCAAAGGCAATCACGTTCTTGTTTTGCATTAACACACACCCTAAGCCTTCCCTCGAAGCATCGGTATAAACAGTGAAACTGTCATTCCCATTAGGCAAGGCTAAAACAGGAGCCATGGTTAACCTTCGCTTCAACTCCTGAAAACTGGTTTCACACCTAGTATCCCACACAAAACGGCCATTTTTCTTCGTCAGATCGGTTAAAGGGTCGGCTAGTTTGGAAAAGTCTTTAATAAAGCGTCGATAGTACCCAGCCAACCCTAGGAAACTGCGAATCTCAGTGGGATTTTCTGGCCTCTTCCATTCAGCTACTACCTCTACTTTCGCGGGGTCTACCGTGATACCTTCTTTTGAAATCACATGTCCCAGGAAAGAAATTTTCTCCAGCCAAAATTCACACTTACTAAATTTGGCGTATAGTTGATGATCTCTCAGGGTTTGTAACACTAACTTTAAATGCTGCTCATGTTCCTCACGGGTTTTAGAATAGACCAAAATGTCGTCAATAAACACGACAACAAATTGGTCCAGGTAGGGTTTGAAAACCCGATGCATCAGATCCATAAAGGCGGCAGGGGCATTGGTCAACCCAAAGGGCATGACCGTAAATTCAAAATGCCCATATCTAGAATTGAAAGCAGTCTTGGGTACATCTTCTTTCTTAATTAGCAACTGATAGTAACCCTGTCGGAGATCTAACTTTGAAAAGACCACTGCGCCTTGTAACTGGTCAAACAGTTCATCAATATGGGGAAGTGGGTATTTGTTCTTAATGGTCATATTATTTAGTCCCCGATAATCGATACACAATCTTAAAGTTCCATCCTTCTTCTTAACAAATAGTACCGGAGCCCCCCAAGGAGATCCACTTTCATGAATAAACCCACGCTCCAACAGATCTTGCAACTGCAATTTCAACTCCTTGAGTTCAGCAAGTGCCATTCGATAGGGGGTCTTAGAGATAGGTGACGCTCCTGGCAATAGGTCAATCTTAAACTCTATCTCTCTCTCCGGAGGTAAAGTTACTAATTCATCAGGAAACACATCCGGATATTCACTTACAATAGGCACATCTTCAACCCTCAACTTATCAGTGGGAGTGTTTATCAGAAAAGCTAGAAACCCTTAGCCCCCTCTATACAGAAATTTCCTAGCCTTAATACCCGAGATCAATGCAGATGAGGCTAAACTATCTCTTACATCTAGCCTTAAGGTTGCCTCCCCCGGTATACGAAGTTCCACTATTTTCCTTTTACAATCAAGTTGTGCATCGTACCTTGCTAGCCAGTCCATACCCAGTATAACATCGTACCCCTGAATGGCCAAACTTATAAGGTTCCCCAAAAGCTTCCTCTCTCCTACCCAAATTTCGCAATTCGCATACATCGAACCAGTAATCAAACGTTGGTCCCCTGTAGGAGTACTAACTTCTAAGTCATAAGGCAAACTAATAGGGTTTATATCAATGCCGCACATAAAATCGGGGTTAACAAAGGAATGGGTAGCACCAGGATCTATCAAAATCCTAGCTAGACGATGGAAAACAGGGATCGTACCTTCTACAACCCCAGAGGAATCAGGGACTTGATGTTGCTCCAGGGAGTAAACCCGAGCTGGCACCTTTGGCTTTGTCCCTTCTACCTTAGACTGTCCCGAGTTGGCCTTCGACGACTGGGTGGTTGCTCTCGCCTCCCGAGGTAACGCTGGGCAGTTAGCTATTTGATGCTCTGCACTCCCGCAGCGCAAGCATCTTCTCTCCTTCCTCCAACAGTTATCCTCGGTGTGGTTTGATTTTTCACAAAATTCACAGGGTCCTCGTGCAATTGAGGCCGAACTTCCTTGTGAGGTGCTTTTCTGCGGGCCCCGTCCATTGTGACCACCCCTCGGCGGAGTCCCTCGCGTCATCCCCGGTTGCCTTCCTCCACCGGCTCCTCGTCCAAACTTGGGAGGGGTCCCTTTATCTCCTTGGGTCGAACTACTCGCAGAGAACCCCCGTTTTTTCACCTGAAAGTTTCTTACTTGAAGCCTTGCATTTTCAACTCGCAAAGCTTTCTCCATGGCGTCACTAAAGGTATTGATCTGGGCTACCGCCAGATCTTTTTGAATTTTCACATTGAGCCCCTGAATAAAACGTCGAACTCTCCTTTGCTCCGTCAGAATGAGTTCAGGGGCGAACTTAGATAAACGAGTAAACTGACTCTCGTACTCAGCTACCGATTGAGTCCCCTGACGGAGTCTAATGAACTCGTACTCCTTCTTTTCCTGGACTAGAGGGGGAAAGTATTTCGCATTGAAGTCCCTCACAAAGTTTACCCATGTTCTTGGTGTTTGTTCCCGGTCCCACTTCATTCATATCACGTTCCACCAAGAACGCGCGGCCCCTTCCAATTGAAAGACAGCGAAAGTAACCTGCCTCTCCTCTGAATAGTGTAGGGCAGCAAAAATATCTATCATTTTCTCTAACCACTTTTCGGCCACGTCCGGATCTGGCCCGCCCAGAAATTTTGGTGGAGAGAACTTCTGAAATCTCTCTAGGGCCCGATCTTCACTCTCTACTACATGGCCAGGGTTCCCAGGTTGCTGGATAGGAGGTTGGCCCTGCTGTTGCACTACGTGGGCTAACAGGTCAGTCATTTGCTGCATAGCAGCAGCTATCTGGGCACTAGGGTCAATCCTAGGTTCAGGATTTGGTTCAGTCGTGGTATCCCTAGTACCCTCGTCAGTTGTGGGTTGCCTAACCCCACACCCGCGGCCTCGCCCACTACGAGTGCCTTCCATTCTCTAAGTCAATCTAAAGTCGAGGCACAAAATAATATTAAAAGTGTATATAATTATAGTCATATAAGCATGAACAAAGAATCAAAAGTAAACACTACTTAAGGCATATATTCACATAGCACATTTATACATGGAACACATAACTGTGTCAAACAGTCATACATAAGCAGTCAGGCAGATATATACAAAGGTACTCCCGTGAAGCCAAAAGAGGGTCTACCAAAATACACTATACAACCTAGGTCCCAAAAGGTGCAAAACAACTAACCAAAAACTTTTCCTAGGTATCCCTCACACGGGATCAAAACAAGGCTCAAAAACCCTAATCTAGTCCTCGACGGAGTCAACCGACTCCCCCCAGAACTAGAGCTAAGGGCGCCTCCCTGACCTGGAGCTCCGCCACCTGGAACTCCCCCTGGCGCATTGGCGCCAATCACTCCCTGGATTAGCGCCCCACACTTGTCGATAATAGCGCCGGACCGGTCTCTCACTTCCCGGACTACTCTAGTAAGGCGGTCGTTAACCACCTGCAACTGCTCTCTCAGAGCGTCCGTCCTCTCCTGCTCCATGACCACGTCCCCCTGGAGCTCCCCAATCCTATCGGCCTGCATCCGCATGATGCCTTTAAGCCTAAGGGTCTCAGTGCGCTCCCTGGCGGCGTCACATCTAAGCCTCCGTCGCTCGGCAAGTACCGCCTCAACCACGTGGTCCGCGTAGGAGTAAAACTGGCAACGCCTACAGCGGCGGGTCCGGCTAGCGGTATACCACAGCCGAATCGGACCTCCCGGTCTCTCCTGGTAATCGATAACCCGAGGGCGCCTCTGAGGTGGCTCGCCTCCGCCCGCTGCACTAGTGCCGGCCATAACCTACAAAGATAGCAAAGGTTTACATCTTAGACAATATATTCACACTTAATGGCGTCTAAACACAATCCTCAAAATGCTAAGAATCAGGTCTCAGGTTCGCCCAGGTTATTTCTAAACCAGGCTCTGATACCACCTGTGACAGCCCTACCTTCCCCTAAGGCGTACCAAAGCAGTTAGCAGACTGCCTGCCCAACTCTCGCCAGGACTACTAAAACGGTACAACACCAGCTCAAGTCGTTCGGGTGTTTATTAACGCGCTTAACCAAACCAACAATCAAGAAACGGAAAACAAAAGTTAAAACGTAAAGCGAATAGTGACTGCCAGGTCACAATCCGCTCAAGATCCAATCAAATGCAAGTAACTTCATACAATCCTTGAAATGAACATATACAAGTCCCGTATAATACATTGAACATGAGTACACACACTAATATAAAACACATCTGTAGGGTTACAAACCAAAAGAAAGCATTTAAATCCAGGTACAATTAAGGTTCCAACTATTGAGGAGCTATACAAAATCTCTCAACTAGCTTTACTCAACTCATTTTTCAAAAGCAAAAGTCCAAAAGGTAATTCCCTGTAAGGAAAACAAAATTAACGGAGTGAGCTTTCGCCCAATGAGATACCATCACGTAATATACCAGGAGCACATAAACACAAGAATATTCAATCCAAATACGTACGTCAAGTAAGCAAAAGCAACTGTCGCGCCCCACTTTTTGAATGAATGTGTTTGTGATGGGTGTGGTGTGTGTAGTGTGGTGTGAACGTGTGCAAAATGAAAATAAAGGCCATGGGACTTGATAAAGCGACGGTTTGGCCATATAAAGTTCAAAAAGGGTTTTTTGGAAAATGGAGTCGCCACTTGGTATAGAGTTAGGGTGTACCAAGTCACCCAAAAATGATTTTTGTTTTTGAATGAAAAAAGTAAATAAACCCTTTTAGAGAACTTTTGGGTCTACGTAACCAAAAGAGGGATCGGGGGTCACATTTGACGAAGGGGAAGGCAAGAATAAAAATCCAAGGCACCCCTTCGACCTAGCCAAGGCTAGTTGCGTGACTTAAACCAATTTTTCTAATTTTTCTATCCAAGGTATGTATCGCGTGTTGGATATGTCTATATGAATGCAAAAACCTAGACCTAGGGGGACATGGGGGAAATTTCTCTTCAAAGGTTGAGTGGTGCCAATCACATTAATTGTGAAGCCCAATAATGATCCTTTTGGAGAGGTCACACCTAAACCTAAATGACGTGAAAAATGAGTGGATGAATGCATGCCATGAAAAATGTGCGTTTGTGTGAAAAAGTAATAAAAACAATAGTGTGAGGGGAAGTGTGCAAAGAAAATGTCCTTGAATGTATAAAATATACTCCAAGTGCTAGTGGGCAAAATGCATGTATGCAATTTAGAGAAAAGTGTGAAAGTGTCGGTGTGCAAATGAAGATGAAAGTACTCGTGTGCGAGTGAGGATAAAAGTGTTCGTGTGCAAGTGAAGATAAAAGTGTTCGTGTGCAAGTGAAAGTGATAAAAAGGTGCATGTGTGCAAATGAGACAAAAGTGAAAGTGTGATGATAGAGGGGATTGAGAATGCATGAGCCTAGGGAATTCATGCATATTGGGTACGGGGAGACCTAAATCGTGACTCAATTTGCCCTTTTATAGAGAGGATACAAGCGTGCTAAGGCTTTAGGAAAAGCCACACTCGTCTATATCCCATATTTAAGGGGACTTTCAAGCAAATGAACCCTATAACTAGTATGAGATGCAAAAAATCCTAAAATGAGGGGAAAAGAGGTTCGAGGAGCATGCCAGATGATAAAACTAAGGGAAGATGCATGATATGTAGTGAACAGGCAAATAATGCATTAATGAAAAACAAAGGAAAAATCCTATTGGGTCTAGCGTTGGGCTAGCCCTTTCTATGAATTCCTAATGAAATAATGAGCCACGACTAGCATTGGACTAGTGTGGTGACGTACATTCATCCATTCCATTCATTCATGGTTATGAAAGCAAGTAGACATGCCAAAACACTCGTAAACACGTAACACGTAACACTTAGCATGCTCGACTAGATGCAAGAGCCTAATAAAGAAATTAAACATGTAGCAACAAAAGCAAGCCACCAAGGGGAAGGGGAAGTGGACCAGATGCTCTCCGAGCCCTATCTATTACAAGCCAAGAGGTGTACACATACCCCATAAAAGCATAAAGGGGAAGTGGAAATGGACCAGATGCTCTCCGAGCCCTATCTATTACAAGCCAAGAGGTGTACACATACCCCATAAAACTTAAATAAAAGTAAAAAGTAAGTAAATGCATGCAAGGAGGTAAGGAAAGCGAAGTAGACAGGCATATTCACATAACACATAAGGTCACATAGGAGAGACAAAAAGGGATAAAAGAAGTTGTACCTTCCCCCGTGTGTAATGCTAGTAAGGTGAACAAGACTCAACTTGGGCTATGGTCACTAAAGAAGGAGCTAATTTGGGCTAAAACCATTCAAAGGAAAGGATTAATGCACCAATGTAATGATAGAATGACAATCAGAATTCGTCGAACATCTAATCCTCTTTCACTTTGCAACTTAGAAATGATCAAATAATGCATGAATTCTAAGCAAGAGTGAGTTATTGATCAAATTTCTGAAATAGCAAAACTACCTAAGGATCCAAAAGCAACCCTTAACCAAACCATCAAGGCCATTTGAAACATTTTAGAACTCAAAAGGTTCATGAGCATGAAAAGATCAATTAATCAACTTATTTAGGGAAATTAAAAAAAATAGGCAACCACAAGCTCATTTAGACACAAGGTTCACAAATCCATGCATCAAACATCACCTTAGCAAAACATGGTAACCAATGAAGGCCAACAAGCAATTGAATTGAAACATTAATGCTACCAAAGACTCAATGGTGAACACTAACCAAGCATTCAAGCTCAATCAAATACTTTTAGGAACTTCAAAGGTCCAAAGGCAAAGAGAAAAAGTCAAGTAATGGCTCGAAATCCAACTATTCTAAGATCTATTTGCAAAAAATTAGAACTTAATTGAGTCTTTGTAATATTGCTGCAAAATTTCAGGGACCCAATTGATTGATTTTCAAAGCTTATGGGCCTTAGAAGGATTAGATGGAAGTCAAAGGGTTGGAGTGCAATTTTTGGAACTTATTTCTTCATGCAAAGCATGCATACACGTAAGAATGCTTCTACAACTTAAAATCTGCTACAACTAGAATGCTTGCTGCATTTTCATCTTCAACCACAAATTTCAGAAAACTAACTCAAGCTTTGCACCAACCTTCTCAACCAATGGCCAAGCTTTGAATTAAACCACACAACATACAACTTGGACGTTCAAATCAGGAAAACACAGCAAGAAATGATGCAAAAATCAAACTGCAACAAGGTTTCAGCAAGCCTATGAAGCTTTCGGCAAACCGAAGTTTCCATTGCTTCTATAATTTTCGGATGAAACTTTTCTGCAATTCGGTACCTTGTCAAACCAGCTTTCAAACATAATCAAGTCCAAACACAAGGCTTCCAACTAAGCAGCAAGCCATCATTCAATTCAACAAAAAAAACTTAGCAACAACCAGTGCAAGCAAGAAATGAAATTCATTTGGCAAGTTTAAAAAAAATCTGGAATGCTGCAAAGCAGCCGAAATAGAATGCAGCAAGGATTCTTGGTGTTTGAACATGATCCAGACATATCAAACATGCAAATTCAACAACCCACCTTCCCTGGCTTCCCTCAACACAAGATCAAACATCAAACGAAAGTGCCAAACTCAGCTAGTAATTAAGGGAAGGGAAACGCGGCAGCAAAAAGAAAGGAAAATGCAGCAGCCTTTGCTTGCTGTGTTTTTGAAAGGAACAACTTTGGCAACTTCAGCAGCATCATAGCATGAATTTCCAACAAAACTTTCAGATTCAAAATACATCAAAGATGATCTACATTCATGCTAAAATCTGAACCAAACCAATCAGAACCAAGTCGCAAACATCAAAACATTTCTGCGTTTTCTGGACTGCAACATTGCTGCAACTTCAAGAAACTTTCGGCCAACCAGATTCATGCATTTTCTAGCTAAGTGTTTGATTAGTAGTCCAAACGTGCAAATTAGCATGCCACTCAAGTGTAAGGATCGATAAACAACTATGGCAAAAGGAAGAAAACAGCACAGAAAACACGACATCTTTTGTCTCGCAGCAGATTCTAGCTTGTGCAGGTTAAATGCCGAAACATTGTTATCATCATGCCAACATTTCACATTCGTTCCCAACCAACAAAACATGCATCTTATACCTATTACTACAAGAAAACAGCATAAAGGAAAAAATAGACGAACCCACAGAACAAAAAGCAATCAACGAAACAAAGGGTCAAAAGTTCAACTTGCTGGAAGAAGTCACGAGAATTCAAGCATGTTGCAGCGACTCTCGGTCTAACTCTAAAGGCCCTAATAGACTCAACTATCATGAAGGATCTAGGGACAAAGGCCAGAGGCCATACTCTTCAAGAAAATCATCCAAAGTCAGCCACAACTCATAAACGTACGAACCAGTGACAATTAGAACCAAGGAAAGTCATGAAAAACACACTGGAATCAGAAAAAAAAAAGACAGCAATGGTATCATCAAAAACCAGCCATGGTATCATCAAAAACCAAAAGAAAGTTCCAACTCCACCATCGACATCCAAGATAAGCAAAAGAAACAGAGAAAGGAAGCATCTTTACCAGCAAAAATGCAAGGAAAGCTGCGATTTTTACCTTAATGTACGGTACCTTCCAATCAGACGAATGGAGCAGAAGAACTTCGTTTGAGCAGACCCAGAACGCAGCCAAAACCACGACCTCCCTTCTTCCTTGCCTTGTGTTTCCTCTCTTCCCAAATTTTTCTTTCTGTTTTCGGTAAGTTTTTCCCTTTCACTCTTGCTCTTTTCCCTTTCTCGCCGCTAATTGTTTGCCCACTCTCGGTCTCAACCTTCTCAAACCTGAGTTTTCCTAGCTTTTTGGCTGTCACTCGATGTCCCCTTTCTCTCTTGCTCTCCCCGTTTCTTTTTCCAATCCAACCTTTTCTTCCCTTCTCACAACCTGCCCCGCCTCTTCTCTCTTCTTCCTTCCCTCTTGCTCCAGTTTTCTTTCCGTTAGCTCCCGTATCCTCTCCCGTTTCTTTTTCCCTTTGCTGTTTTTCTATCCCCGTTGGTTCTCTCCTTTGCGGCTGCCTCCTTTCTTGCTATTTATACCAGGAACCCCCCTCCTAAAACCCTTAGCACTCTTCTATATTTACAGCCCAAGGGGCTGCCCGAAGTCCTCCCTTGCAAGCTGCAAAAACGCAGCTTGCAAGTCGCGTTTCTCTTTTTTTCTTTTTTCTTTTTTTTTTTTTTTAAACTTTCAACTTAATAAATACAGAAATGATAAAATATAAATAATAATAATAATAACAAATTGCCAAAAACCAGGTAATAATAATAATAATAATAATGAAAATAATTTAAAAACTAAACAACTAAAAACAACAAAAATGGCCATTTTCCATCTTTTTGTTCCATTTTTCATTTTTCATATTTTTCATTTTTTCCTCTTTTTTCAAAATAACTTAATAAAAATAACTAAAGTGCAAAAAGGTTGAATGTAAAGAAATAAACATATTTTTGTGAACAAATTTTCCTTTTTTCTTTCTTTTCCATTGTTTTTTCCAAGAAAACTAAAAACCTATTTTTTGAATGTTTTTGCTTTTTCTCTCTAGCAACTCCATGCTAATCTTAAAATTTAAAAACTAAGACTAAAAGTAAATAAAACTAAAAAAACAAACAAGAATAAATGACAAATGAAATAGATCAACTAAAAGGGCCAAAAATGAACTAAAATAAAATAACTACTAAAAATGAGAAACAAACAATAACGAACTAGAATGCAAACAATCTAAAACAACCAAAATCATGCAATAGATGCCACATACAAATTATTCAAAATTTGGTGTCTACAGCAACAACACCCAAATATAAGGAATAAAAGGATACGGATGGCTCTCAAGAGCCTTTTTCCTCTTTTGCATACTTGATCTCATCTCATTGACCCTCCGTCAATGTATACCAGGTAATCATGACCGTAGACTCCTCTTTACTCCAATTATCCGTCCGCCTCACTTTCCCCTTACCGGGCCTGAACACCAAACAGTACAGAATTGGTATTACTCGAGTATACCGGAATCAAGGGTCTCATACCCAAAGATTCCCAAATACAGTCCCCATGGCTTGTCAAATGTCCCCGACCAAGTCCTTACTGGCTCGAGTCCATTGACTTCCAATGAGGTAGAGCTCAGAGTGAACGGCAAAAGTCCAGAGTTACAGTAAAGGTTGGTATCCAATCGACACCAAATCATGTACAGTCAAGAGTATTCAAGTGATATCATAAACAAGCAAGTAGGCCTAATATAATAACCAGTCAAGGAGGCCAGAGAGTACGAGAGTGGTAAAGTACACCCTCGCCTCACCAAGCTCAAACAATCATCACAACTAGCCCAAATCACAGAATTCAAGTACAAGAAAGCCACGGAATAACAAATATGTGAGTAGTATACTCACCAAGTCAAATAAAGAAATTTCACAAGTTTTCGCCCGACGTGAGCCTCGGATCACCGGCGCGTCCTATAATAATCAAGAAAGTACAATTAAGACTCAAACACGAGTCGAATACCTTATACTAGGAACTATTAAGGTAAAATCCAAATATAGCTTGGTAATAGGAAATACATAGCATTTAGGGTTAACAGTAGAAACAATCCCTAAAACTGCTCATTTCTATCCAATCACAACCCAACTCACAAGAACCCAATACCCCAGACACTTGGACAGCATTTCCCCTAAAATTTCAGTTTTTCCAACCTACAAAACAACCATTAAAAGCCATCCAACACAACCACAAGCACCCAAGCAATTCATAAGCCATTCAATATACTTCATTAGGGTCACAATACCCCTCAATTAGAGCCAATTAGAAGCACAACAATCATCCATAGAAAACCCCCAATTTGAAACCCTAAATCTGAAATTTTCCACACAAGCGGAAATTTTCCGCAAATAACCACAATTAACGTACAAGAGAGCTATTTAACACCATTTAGAACCATCAATTCAAGCCCAAACATATCCATCATAGGAAAACAGAAATAAACCCACAAAAATCAGAAAATTAGCTAGCTTCACTCCAATCCACCAAACCTTCCGTAAAATCACGTATATAGCTACTATAAGGCACCAATTGGCCAAAATTAGAAAACAAAGATGAGTTCCAAGCAAGATACCTTAGTTCTTCAAGAAAGGTTGTAGCTTAGGAGGTTTTCTTCCAAAACAACATCACCAAGTTCTTCAAACACCCTTAGCAAGATGATTTTATGGACTAATTCAAGAAACAATCGGTTAATTTTCAAGATTTGGCAAGGATTTGAAGATGGAAGGTTGAAGATTTCTTCCCTTTTCTTCCTAGAGGAATTCGACCAAGAGAGGATGAAGAATGAAGATGTCTTGGTCAAAATTAGACTTTTAAGTAAAGATAAAGAAAGTTAGGCAAAGTTAGGCAAGTTTAATCCAACAAGAATTGGACACTTGGCACTTTGTTTTGTTTAGAGTTATCTTCTTGTCCCTCCATAATTAAACCATCTAGATAACCTTTAATCATCTACTAACACCTAGTAATTAAATCCCTTTATGGAAAATTGAACTGAATTGGCCGAAATTCTCTCACTAATACACTAGCGGGCCCCACATCCAAAATATACTCCTAATTTCTCACGAACTACCTTATACTAGAAAAATGATTTAAAAACTATATTTCCTAATAACATGTGGATAAAAGTAATATAATAAAGAAAATAAAAGAAAACGGGTGCACAGGAATAAAACCCTAAATTTTTTTTTTTCCGTTCTGGGTTCTCACATAAAACAGTTCTCTTCTCTCTCTAATCCAGCAATGATCCATCAGGATATCTTCAAATCCTTATGATATTTCATGAAAGAAAGCATGGCCAAAAGATTGTCAGAAAGGACAAAAGAATGGCTAGTTTTGAATGAAATTCATTTGGATCTTTGGTTACTTCTAGTGGCATCAGAGCCATAGGATTAGAGAGAGTTAATCAATCACATTCATTTGCCATGGATATTACTTCATCTTTGAAGAGATCTAATAGTAATATGTTAGATTATCTTTATGAAGTATCTGTGGAACCAGAACAAGTTAATCCCACATCCCTTCTGTTAATTAATCCTTACTCTGCCTTCCCCAAATTAGTCTCATATGCTTTGAGAGTTACAAAATTCTTGATAAAATAGCATCCCAAGGAAGTAAAAGAATATATTCAACTTCTAAATTGGATCAGTATTATATCCCAACCACGAAGAAATAATAGTATATTACTTTTTTATACTCCTTCAAAATTTTCTACTCAATGGAAACAACAAGGTTATACCTATGTTCATTTTGTTGCCATTAGGTTCTCCTTATCCTTCTATGAAAGGAAAGGACTACCAGTAGTAGCAAGAATTGCTCTATGGACACTAGATTTGTGAAATATCAACATGCATATATTGCGACTGTTGAAACAACATTAAATGCTGGAACAGTCTTTGTTACCCTTTTCCCAAATTTCAAATGGCTTTATCTGACCCACATTTTTTGGAAGCTCTAAAAGTCTAGGTATAAATTAATGGAGTTGACCAAATCTTAGATGCTATAGCTACAACACTGCACTATCAAATGGTATACCGTGTACAAAATCATGCTTTAGATCTAACACTGTCTGGAGGAGAGGATGCTCTCCTAATCAAAGTTGATGAAAAACACTTAGCCACATGCACCCATGTCCCTAGGTAGATTTCAAAATCAGAATTTATCCAACTACTTCCTGAAATTTGGATAATTGATTATGAAAAATTGCATCAAGCAGCTAATCAGCCCATAGAATCTTCAGATTCTAAGATCTCTTCTCTATCTGATGGATCTGTGTCTATTAAGTGTAATCATTCTTATCTAAATATAGACAAAACTAAATCATTTCCATCATCTCTATAATTCAGGTTTCTGTTTAGTATCCCAATTCATTATATAAACAGATTGGTGCATACAAGGAACGAACAGATCATCTTGAGGACATTATTGCTCATGTCAACAGCTAGGGAGAAAAGGTATATCATTTTCAGGATCCATTCTCAGGTCACATATACTTTGATATTTGCAATTGTGATGACTGTTGGGTTGATAGTTGAAAAAATAATGATGATTTTCACAATAAAAGGAAGAGAAAGACAACCTAAGAACAAAAGTGTAAAGGCTTGCTACCATCATTTACATCTTTAAGAAGCTAGTTTGATGGAATAAGAATCCCAAGCTAGTGAGTGGAGAAAAGAAAGAGAATACTAGATAAGGAAAAGAAGTTAAATCCTTACTATGCTAAATGTCTTGATACTCTCCAAAAAGAAAACCTTATAAAACTCACTTCATCTACCCTAGAAGTCTTCATGTTTAATTCAGAAGACTACTCTCTTGAGCTGTTCACAAAAAATCACACTAGACATTCTTCGAAGATATATAATGCTTCTTCAACGATCTTGCCATCTGGCCAAGACTCACCAATGAATAAGGCAAAAGAATTATTAAACTGGCGAACAAAAAATTCTTTGGCTCAAAACAAAGCATTGAATTCTATCCAAGAAAAGTGATTCAGGTATCCTTTAAACTTAATCATATGGAAAAGGAGGTAAAAACTCAAAATGCACAGATTTCTCATATGATCTCTGTATTAGAGAAAAGATTAAATGAGTTGAAATATGCTTTGCCTATGACTAATAGTCCTCTCTCTCATTTCAAGGAACAACAGGACAAGGAAGAAAATTTTCTAAAAAGACAAATTACCAGTCCCAAAAGCACAGGGAAATTCAGATCTAAGCCTAAACCTTCAAGTCAAGTTGCAAGTGCTTTTGGAACAATCCCAACAAGCTCCTTGCTTACATATTGTTACTTTGATACCACGCCAGTAAACCAACATGTTGTTGTGTTTCTTAGTCAGAATTCTTCACCTCCAAAATAGGAATTTGATATTGCCAAGTGGTGCAAAGAACAACGAGCAAAAAAGAAAGAAGAACAAAAGGCTGCACAAAAGGGAAAAAAAGAAAAGGAAAAGATGCTTGAAGAAATGAATA